GGATGGATGGATGGATGGATGGATGGATGAATGGAATGAAGGAGCAACCCCCCGAAGTCATTTCTCCATTTTCATTAAGGGGAAACCAATCTCAGATGTTATGAGGGTGGAGAGGGCAGTTCTGGGAGCCCTCCCCTTCTCCAGGTTCTGCCCTTTGGGTCCCCCTCAGGGCCGGGACGTGTCCCCAGGTTTGCTCTGGGCTCCTGGCACCAGAGCTGTCCCCACCTGGAGACATCCGTCAGGGGCCCGCAGCAGACTTGCCAGGCCTACACTTCATTCCTGAGTCCCTGCCGGTCAGTGATGACACTGGCCTACCCTTCCCCCGCTGCTTGCCAAGATTCCACACTGGAGAGAAGGAGGCAGGAAGCCCAGGGGCCTGGGCTGGGCTTCCCTGGGCCTGGGTGTGGGCAGGCTGTCAGAACAGCTCGGAATACTCTCAGAGGAAGTGAAGACAGACAGGATTATTGAACCGAAGGTAGTTCGGGATTCTCGGATAGCCCTACCCAGGAGTTCCCTAGACCCCAAACAACCACTTACTAGGTCTGCTTTCTTATCTGTTCCTTAAGGACACCTGCAGCTACGGCTCTTTGGTGAAAAGCCTCAGGATTTCAGTGTTAACCCTGAGCACTCGGGCCCCCCGAGCCTCCGGGCTCAACTCTGCTATACCTGGAGTGAGTGGACAGGGGTCTCACAGCCAAAGAGATGACCAGTCACCGGATTTTAATTATGCAAGGGGAAGGAAAGAAACAGCATCAAAATGTCTGGAAGTTCAGTGGAACAATCAGGGAGGGCAGCATGGTAGAGGTGATCCATTGGGCATCGAAGGAAGGGGTTCCGATGGGCAGAGACGTTGAAAGTATGGTTGGGGTGAGACAGTGCCCGTTATCTACCATTTTCAGCTTCGTGACCTCTGGTCTCTGCTGGGCATTTCCTCAGCTATAAGATGGACCTTACGGCTCCCTGGTGACAGGATTATGGTGAGGTTGGAGTGGGGCAGCCAGGGCTTCTGGGGCTGCTGAGGAAGGGCCCTAACAGGGGCACCTGGGCGGCTCAGTCGGTGAAGCGTCTGCCTTCGGCTCAGGTCATGATCCTGGAGTCCCGGGATTGAGCCCCACAACCAGGCTCCCTGCTCAGCAGGGAGTCTGCTTCTCCTTCTGCCTCATCCTCCCCCTCCTTGCTGCTCTCTCTCACTTACTGTCTCTCAAATAAATAAATGAAATCTTTAAAAAAAAAAGGGGGGGGCCCTAGCAGACTGGAGAATCTGCGTGTTTATGGCAGGCTGAGTTCTCCCTCCACAGGTACAACAGGTGTGCATGTGCGTGTGTTGGGGGGGCGGTGATTGGCAGCAGGGGTGAGGAGCTGGAGGCCTGGTGCTGGAGCCCTCAACTGCAGGCTCAGAGGGGGCACTGGGGTAGCCCCCAGCCCCACCACACCACGCTGGGGTAGTCCAGCCCCCTCCCTCGGTGGCCTGTGGGTAGGTCCGTGCTCTGGCCCAGTCCTGCGCTTCAAGATTTGCCTGGGGCCTCCCCTGGTCAGGGTTTGGTCAGAGGGACAGTTCAGAGCTGCCCTTTTTCCTCCTGGCCAGCAGGCCCCCAGTTTCCACGGCTTCCGCCGAGGCCCAGGACCCTCAGTCTGGCCCTTCCCCATGGTCCGGCTTCCTCTCCCCCAACCCCCCAGCTTGATGAGGTCAGCGAACATGTATTCCAGGAATGTGGGAGGCGGGGCGGCCAGCCTGGTTTGGATAACCATCGTGGTAAATATTT